GTCCTCATTTTTCCCCTCCCTCCCCGCTCCCCCCTCCCGCATGAGCCCCTGATAGTTTATAAATGGGTATTTTGTCATATCTTGCCCTGTCCGACGAGTGTCCAATCTTTTAAACCATAGTGTTTCCTAGGCATGATAAGATGGAAATAAGACTGGTTCATTTTCTTTTAAGTGTTTGCTCTTCTCATTGAAACTTAATGTAGTCATCTACTTATAGTTTGTATGTGGTCATAACAGTTTTAAATTTCTTTAGTTTAAAAAAGCTAATTATTATTATTTAAAATGTCAGTTACAAAGCCATGTAAAGTAAAAAGTGAGACTCCTCTTATCTAGTTTCCTCCTGTAAATTTATGCTGAATTTATGCATAACCAAAATAGTATTTTGCAAAAATGTTCATACTATTTATATTATTTATATATTTTTGTTCATGTTAGGATTTTAGCCCGACTAATTATTTAATAATAGGAGCAGTAAAAACCCTTGAGAATTCTAGAATTAGAATTGCTAGGTCAAAGATATATATTTTAAATTCTTAATTATTTAAAAATAGCTATTACCACATTTCCCTCCTCAGAAGTAATCGTTTACGTTCTCTTCAACTATAAATAAGAGTGAGCGTTAGATTATGTATTTCTAAAACTTAAGTTTGGTGGTTTTTAAGTGGTTTGGGTGAGGTCTATAGAACAAATTAGAATTCCATTCAACAATTTATACACGTTTTGTTTCATAACACTGGTTACAATTCCCTGCGTATAACAGTACTCTTCCTGCTTTCTCCCTGGGTCCCTTGTATTCATTTGTCCTTCTTTCCTGACCCTTCCAGACTTCTGAACTTTGTTTTGGGGCATATATTGCCCTTTTGGTCTTACCTGATTTATTATTCTGAAGAGCACATTCTTCATGAGTGTTGTTGTTCACTTTATAGATGTCTGTTGTTTGCCCAAAAGAAGCCGGGGGATGGGTTTAGTTGTAGATTTGAAGGGTATCCCAGGGCCCCCATCATGAAGGTTCCACTAGTCTATTAGACAAGTAAGTCTGGTATTTTTGTGATTTTAATTTTTTCCCCATTGTGTTCAAGACCTTCTGTGGTCCAGATCAGAGCGGTCAGTTATAGTAGCAAGGCACCATCTAGTTCTTTTGGTCTCCTGGCAGTAGCAGTTATGATTCAAATGATCCATTAGTCCTTTGGAGTGATTGTTTCCTTGAATCTTTGATTTTCCTCATTCTTCCAAACTCCAGATGAAGAGATCCCAATAGTTGCTTCTTAGATGACCATGGGTGCACCATCACTTTTAAGAGCCTGTTTGCTACTCAGCACAGTAGGGTGTAGAGCATTGTTTTTGTGAACTATGGTATGCTGGTTGACTTAAATGTTACATAAGACTTAATTATTAAAAGAGCATTAATAAAAGTTTGTTTTCTTCACAGACAAAAATAAGTTAGCTAGTGGTTGAAAACTGATTGTGGTAGCAATTGTAAATTTATAATTGATGTGATTAAAATATGGAATATATTAAATCCCAACTAATAAAAATAAAACATAATATTTTTAAAAGTTAGCTTGTATTAGAATAGTCCACTAGAGGATGTGTTAAAGGAAGAACTCTTTAAATTTCCATGGGGTTAGTTTTCATTAACATGTCTCAATGCACAGCAGAACAACCTTTTTTTGTTTTTTTTTTCGGAGGCAGGGGGGCATAATTTCTAAATTAGCAATAAATCATAATAATCTCTTTTTTTTCTATTTTTCAAGAATTTATTGAAATCTCTTCATACATAGATACATACAAAAAGAATTTAATTTCAGATTTGCTAAACACTGCACGGAATTAGAAGCAGAATGTAGAGTACAATCTTAACTATTGTTGAAAGTATTTTTTTTTAAAGTATTGGACTTTTAGAACTTTCTAGCCTCTTTTTTTATTACACCCCACCACCACCACCACCCCCGTATTTTTATTGGGGGCTTTTACAGCTCTTATCACAATCCATATATTCATGCAGTGTGTCAAGCACAGTGTGCACATATGTCGCCATCATTTTCTTTCTTTTTTTTTTTTGTCGCCATCATTTTCAAAGCATTCTCTTCCCACTTGAGCCCCTGATATCAGCTCCCTATTTCTTCCTCCTCCCTCCCTCACTCTTCCTCCATCATGAACCCTTGTTAAGGCATAGATTATTATTTTCATTTCTTACATCCGTCCTCCGTCGCCCCTCACCCACTTTTCCGTTATTCGTCCCCCTGGGAAGGGGAGGGTGTTATAAATTGATCCTTGTGATCGATTCCTCTTTTCTCCCCTAATCCTCCTGGTATCTCTACTCTCATTGTTGGTCCTGAGGGGTTTATCACCCTGGATTCCCTGTGTTGGGGGCTCTTATCTATAGTAGTGTGCATGTTCTGGTCCCATTTGTAAGGTAGAATTAAGGTCATGATAATGAGGGGAAGGGAACACCAAAGAACTAGAGGAAAATTGAAAGTTGTGTGTTTCATCAGTGTTATGCTGGCCCCTGACTGGCTCATCTCTTCCCTGTGATCCCTCTGTGAGTAGATGTCCAATTGTCTACAGATGGGCATTGGGTCTCTACTCCATGCCACTGACACCAGCTCCCCTGTCCCCCCCCCACCCCCCCTAGTTCACATTGGATATGATTTTATTCTGAATCTCAGATGCCTGATCCCATCGACACCTCATGATAACACAGGCTTGTGTGCTTCTTCCATGTGGACTTTGTTGCTTCTGAGCTAGATGGCCACTTGTTTATTTTCAGGCCTTTAAGACCCCAGATGCTATGTCTTTTGATAGCCGGGCACCATCAGCTTTCTTCACCACATTTGCTTGTACACTCTTTGTCTTCAGCGATCGTGTCAGGAAGTTGAGCATCACAAATGCCGGATTATTAGAACAAAGTGTTCTTGTGTTGAGGGAGTACTTGAGTCGAGGCCCAATGTCCATCTGCAACTTTACTTCTTAATATATAGATATGAGTACATAGTTTTATTCCCCTCTCATTACATATGTACATGCTTATACTTAGACCTCTATAAGTGTCCTTTACCTCCTGGTTCTTTCCTCTGTTTCCTTTTTACTTCCATCGTGTCCCACCATCATGTTCGGCCTTCATTCGGGTTTAGTAATTCCTTGCTGCTACATTGTCCTTGATTAAGCCCCACTAGGCATCCTACGCCCTTCTTTCCATTGATTTTAGTTCACTTGTTCCCTTGTCCCTGGGTTGGTTCCCCACCACCACCACCCCTTTTCTCCCACATCCCTTTCTCCCATATCCCCCTGGAACTGTTGGTCCCCTTCTTTTCATCTCCAAATTATTTATCCTGCCTCTCTTATCTAGATAGACATGCAGATACATTACTACGTGCAAAATCTAGGCAAAGCAAAATAAAACAAAGGAAGTCAACACCAACAATACAATAACAACAATCAGAAAAAAACAAAATAAAAATAACCCAAAAAGCCACTGACAAAAATGGAAAAGCCTATAAATAGTTCAAGGTCTGTTGGCCTTTGCAAGTGTTTTCCAGTCGAGTCTGATGGGGGCCACACTCTGCCTCCAAAGTCTATGTTTGGTATTCCCTGGGCATTTCATCACTCAGCTGCCCTTGCTGCTCTGCTGCATGCCCTTAGTGTTTCGCCCCAGCATGATGGGGTCAGATAGTGCACTATTCCCACGGTGTCTCCAGTGCTGTCCCTGAGGGACGTCGTGTTTCATAGTGGGGCCGGCCCTATGGATCATAATAGTCTTACAGTCTTGGCAGTTACTACACTTAGTCATGTAATTTCTAGTTTGTTGGGTAATTAATATCAGAAATTGCTAACTGGGAATGATAGATTTTTAAATGATAGTGAGCTGTTTAACTATATAATCTGTTCTTTGTTCGTTAATACTTCAGACTAGCTTTCCTCCTTGTGTTTTGTACAGAAACACCTGGTGAGACTCTGTGGGGCTTTGGAAAAGCATGTTAAGTGTGATATCAGAGAAGACCCCAAACGTTTTTATAGAACGAAGGTGAGTGTAGTTTTTCTTAAGTATTGGTAGTTTTTTTAGTCATGGTCTAATTTTGGTTACATTATATTTGAAGAGGAGGAACATATAAGCCCTCTCATTTAAAGAAGTCATTTAAGATTACATACAGAGTTTCTTCTTTAATAATGGAAATCAACTTTTGCTAAATACCTCTGGTTAGATTTAAAGTGAGAGGAAAATCTTTAAAGTGACTACATTTTTCATTGTACTCTACTTTCTGATACCCAAGGAGGAGCATTAGTCTTCCAGGACAAGTGAACCTTCCTCATTTTTTCTCAGTGTGCTGAGATCTTTATTCTAAAATTCGCCTCAAGGATTGAAGCAGTGTTTCTGGCTTGTCGAGGGAAAAATACACGTGCTATTATTTGAGTATTCTGTTGGTGGACATCTCAAGGGCAGGGCTCTTTGAAGTTCTGCATCACCCAGTCTGAGCTCCAAGGTGGAGATGATGTAGCAGAAACTTGTTCATCTTTTTCCTTTTACAGTTTCAAAATATTCAAGGACAGTGGAAACACTAATTGTATGTATGTGTGCTAGAACATGGACTTCTTATTAAAATGACTTGGCAAAACATAAAATCAGACTGTTTAAAAAAGTTTACATCTAAGGATTTTTCTATGCACCAGTCATCTTTTTTTTTTTTTTTTTAATTCTTGAGTTGGACAGTCACTGGATGTAAAGTCTCAGCTTTGTAACTGTATCTGACATGAATTCACCAGAAAATGCTAGTCATTTCAACAGTGCCCATTTGGATTATCTATATTTTAGTAAATTTAGGTTAAATACAAAAACGAGCAGCTAATGAAGTTATATCAGGTTGCAGGTACTATGCATGTCAGAGGAATAACACTTTGCCTTAGAGTGGAAACCTTAGTTTTAGAAGCACATTGTTCTGTACATTGGCTAGAGTTACTGGCCCGTAGAGCTTGGTAGTAGTGGCTGCTGTTGACAGACAGGCTAAAAGAGGACCACCCAAGGTTTTTGTTCTTGAAGCCAGGCCCAGGCCCAGACTGGTGCCAGATCTTCTCTCACTCAGAGTGGAGAGTGACACAGTGGTCCGTGGAAATTGCTTAAGAAATGGTCCTGTTGAAATCAGTAGTTGCGTGACTCTCCAGAACCGTCCAGTAGAAAGGGAGCAATTGTATTTGGAGAAAACAGAATTGCTGAGCTCTAGATGAAAGAAGAAAGCAGAGCTAGCCATTCACTTTATAAAGTGCCTGCCCTGTTTCAAATGTTCCCTGGGCAGTCACATTTAAGAGCTGTGTTGGAGCTCTAGGAGTGGTAGGAACGTTTGTATTTTGCTCAGAAAACTTGCGGTCAGATAGAAATAAACAATTGACAAACACTTCTGGTATCTTTAGTAAGTCTCTCAAATGGAAACTGGAAGACTGGGAACAGCCAAAACCTTGGGTCTGACCCATAACTCAAACCACCCTTCAGCTTCTCTATCTGGGTGTTGTAGCCAGCCTGTTGAAACTTGATGAACCTTAAAGACGGGGTATGTTTTTCTGGGGATGATTTTTAGTAACTAATGAGAAAATGTAGTCCTAAGCATCTGGTGTTTAGCGTATAGTGATAGAGTTTTATTAATGATCATGAGTCAAAAGCCATACCAAAAGATAGTGTTTTATCTTTTTTGACAAAAATTAAATTAAGTTGTTGGATGTGGACCAGTCACTGCTATCAGATCTTTGGTATCAAGCAATCATTTGACATTAGGTGAGGATATTTTTTGATTTCATCCTTTTCCCCCTTTTTGTTATTTTTAAGGTGAAAGACTTGGTTGCCAGGATACATGGAAAATGGCAAGAAATAATCCAGAACTGCCAACCTACTCAGGTGTCATTTTATTAAAGAGTTTTATTTATTTATGCTAAATGGTACTTTTCCATACTGTTTAAATAAAGTATACCAGAGCCTTGCTTCTAAGTGTCTTCAGATAAACAAAAAAGACCAGAATAATACATGCAAATACTTGGCTTCTCTAGTTGGTTGGTTTGTTTTTATAGTTTTTGTTTACTTTATATTAATTTATTTCTGGGACTTCGTTTTTTAAATGTTACATTGTATCAAACGAAGGTTATTTCAAGAGGAACGTTTTTGAACAGCTTTATTCAGATATAATTCACATCACTTATATTTCCCCTAGTTAAGGTATACAAATGGCTTTTAGTTTATTGCGAGTTCTACAACCAGTACAGGATAGCACTATATACAGCACTTCTGTCATCCCATAAAGAAGCCCAGCGGCCATTGGCAGTTGTTGGTGATTTTTTTTTCCAGCCCCTAATAGCCACTCATCAACTTTCAGTCTCAGAATTTGCTTCTATGAGACTTTTCGTACGAACAAGCTCAACCATTGTGTGGGCTTTTGTCACCAGCTTCTCTTACTGAGCCTAATGTCTGGAAAGGTTTTGTCTATGACAGAGAATGGATGTCTTTTTTCATCACCGAGTAATGTTCCATTGTGTGCCGATGCCACGTTATATGTATCCATTCATTAATTTGAATTATGTCTATGTTTGGCTACTAATGAACAGTGCTTTGGAAACATTTACGAAGCAGTTCGTGTGGACATGTATTTTTCAATGAAAGCATCTTGGTTATATACCTAGAATTACTTGGTTATATCGTAACTCCACATTAAATTTTGAGGATTTGCCAGAGTATTTTCCAAGGTTTCTGCACCATTGCATATTCCTTCCAGCAGTGTATGAGGGTTTTAATTCTTAAACATTCTTGCCAATTCTTGTTGTCTTTTTTCATTATAGCCATAATAGTGGATGTGACATACCTCATTGTAGTTTTAGTTTACATTTCTCTAGGGGCTGATAATGTTGAGCATCTTTTCATGTGCTTATTAACAACTTGTATAGCTTCTCTGTTGAATTGCCTATGCAAATCTTTTGCCCATATTTTAATTGGGTTATTTGTCTTTATTGAGTTGTAAGGTTTTTCCATATGTTTTAGATACATGATATTCAAATACTTTCTCCCATTCTGTGGGTTGTCTTTTCACTGTGTTGATGTATCGATGTAACGCCAGTTTTAAATTTGATACAGTCCAACTTATCTAAATTGTTTGCTGTTATTATTTGTGCTTATGTGTATCATATCTAAGAAAACATTCCCTAAGAGGGACCTTCCATATATCTGCTGTTAAGTTGGTCCTCCTGCTTGTTGATAAGGGCTAAAATTATGCTTCTCACATTTTAATGTACATAGAAACCAACTGATGTTAAAGTGCCAGAAAGTCTATTTCTACCATAGTGACCCCACATGAGAGAGTCAAGATGCCCCTATGATTTGGAGGGCTGTGATCTTTATAGAGACAGATTGTCTGGTCTTTGTCCTGTGGAGCTGTTGAGTGGGCTCAAGCCACCAGTCCTTCTTACCAGCCAAGCACTGTACTGTCGCACCACCGAGGTTCCTTCCGAGTCCACTAGGAATGCTAAAGCGCAATGCTCTCACTAGGTCTGGGGTGGGACCTCGTTAATGGGCCTTTCTAATGCATTGTCAGATTGATGACAGTACTGCTAGTCCAGAGACGTTGGCGTGAAAAGGTCTGGAGATTGCTTCGTTTTTATATTAAAATAACAGGAAGATTAGGAAAAGCAATCTCACTGCTTTGGAGCATTTTGAATTTTGTCCCTTGGGTGTCTTTCATCAGATATGGAAGTCCTCTTTGAGAAATCTTGAGCTGTATTGTTTTATTTTTTCACCGTAGAAGACTCTAGGCTAGCCATTTTTGGTATGACATTAAAACAAAAAAAAATTCAGTAGAAAAACTTTAAAACAGCTTACATTTTTACTTAATCTCCTTTAATATGATAATCCCAAGTGTATGCAGTTTAAGAAAAACATCCTGTGCTTCTTATTGCTAGGACTTGTTAGACTTGAAGTCCCCACGCTGCTCCCTCCTGCTTCTGTTGCCTACTGGTTGGGGTGGCAGTGAGGGAGAAAATGTTCACTGCACAGAAAATACCAGGCCCTTTGGAGAACTTAGCAAACAAAGCTTGCACCGAGTGATGGTGTGTTTGGCAATATTACTGTGCCCAAAATGACCTTATCTGATTTCTGGATAAGCAACGTCAAATGTATTACCCTTAGTACAAGCCTAAAACTTAAAGTACTGTGCTTATTTATGCTTTTGTGTTAGGGCCACAGAATGAGATATTCTAGTTACCTATCAATTTGAGTGAAATGTGTAATATGTTGTATTTATGTTCATTAGCAAAACCCAGTGTCAAACGATTAGTAGTGTTGTAAGGATTAACTCATAATCTGCTTAAAGTTTCCTTCATCCTGGTTGTTTTCCTTTGCTTGTTTCCTCTTCTAGGGGCAGCTTCATGACTTCTGGGTGCCAGATTCTTAACAGGAGTTACAGCAGCGTCAATGTGAACCAAAAGAAATTCAACCAGAGTGTGTTCAAGAAGGTATGAAAGATGACTACAGAGTCCAATGGAATGCTAATCTGCTGCAGCTGTGCCCCAGTGACTAACTGGTATGATGAAGCTGGTAATGATGAAATTGCCGTTTCCTCTGTGGATACAAAACGTGATCTGCTTAATTGTTAAGGCAACTGAACTTTCAAAGGAACAGAGTCTTTTGAAGGGAGAGGTGAAGTAGAACAGCTCATCCAACCTGCTCTTATTAACCCCTTGTTAAATTGTAAGCGATGACCTTTTCTTGGATTCTATCTATGGCACTTGGATAATAATCACAGCAGGTATGTGTGAAGAAAAGGGTTTGGACCAACCTGAAGGGTTGGACATGGGAATTAAGACCAAGTTCCAGATGAGTTTCACTTTTTTCCAAAAAATTTTAGAACTAAGTTTCATATCGAAAGACATGAATCTGCTCTGTATCTCCTATAAGCCACGGGGAGCTTTTTATCCACATTTTTTCCTGCACTATTCACTACAAATCTGTTCGGTTTTTAAAATATGTTTAAACAAATAATTGGAAACAAGAAATTTGATGGTCAATTTCCCAGAAAGGGGGGAGAAGTTCAGCTGTAAAGTAACGCCTCTGTTTTAATGCCAAAACATTCCCTTGCAGTTTGTTTTGGATTTCTTTTAGGTGCATACATTTTGTAAACTACAGATTAAAGTTTAGACTCCTTGTTAAATTTTAGTAGTTTGGCTCTTAGTCGCCATGTTATAAGGTTTAAAGGTCTAGACAAGTTGCCAAAAATCTTGTCATTAAGTACATGACATCGGCCGAGATCTGGATGGTATTGATTCTTTGGGGTGTGTGTGAGGGAGAGAATGCACTTAGGGACACGTGTTCATGTGTGCTTGTATCTTGAAGTTGTTGCACTTGAAAACCATAGCTGCTCTGAATTCTTAAAACACTGGAAAGCCATCCTTTGGTTTAAATGGTGGAGGTGCACGGGCTGCTCTTAGTCCGTTCAAGGGCCCTTTGAAGCCTTTGGTAGGGACATACTCTCTTACTAACTAACGATCAGTCCTTTCATGACTGACTGCCCCTTGAGGGAGGGTTTCTTTCCTGAAAGAGCATGTCAGCTTAATTTTGGTTTTTCCTTTTTTCGGTCACACTGCTCTCTTGAGCACCCTCATGTCCATCGTCGCGCCGCCCCCTCCCCTCCCCCAGTTGGTGGGGGAGAGATAGTGAAGGGAAAGGGAACTGGACTTAATTTGAGGGGATAGAAAGTTTTTGAGAAAGAGCTCTCTACCTGGAAATTGAAGCTTAGAAGTCAAAAAGCATTCTATCTTAGTCATCATTTAAAATCGCATCAGTCACATTTTAGCCCGCTGTCAGGCCTTTGGGCAGTTAGAGATTTTACAGCAAAGGCTTACCTAAATCCAGTTCCCAAGAAATTTGGCTGAATGAGGTTCCAAGAGTCAGACCAACAAAAGTTTTGTTCTGTGTTGAGTTTACTGGTAAGAAAATTATCTTGATACTACCTCTCAAGGGTATTGTTACAAAATGCCACTTAGGGTTAAAGAGATAGATACAAAGAGTTATGTTTAACAGAAGCTTGAAACTCTGGCATCTATCTGCCCAACAATGGGGGCTTTCACTCTGTAATTTAATCTTTTGTAGATACATTATTTGTGTGTAATTTTATAAGTGTTCATATTTTTCTCATTTTGCATTGTGTAAAGTGTACAAAACCTCAAAGTATAAAATACTGCTATATTGCTTGTAATTACAGTGTGTAAATATTTTCTAATCGTGTAAATTGACAGGGGACAAGTGGATTATTCAGGTTTGGTTTTTTGTTTGTTTGTTTAAGGTGACCCTTCTTTATATGGCAGTTTCACCAGATAATTACTCATCAAATTTAGAGCCACTTTGATACATTTTTATTTAACAGTTCCACTAAAAAAAAATCTTAAATTGACTTTCTCCATTAGAGAAAAGCATTTCATCAATAATCTTTAAAGTAAATGGCCAGACATTCGTTTGGGCCCTTGCATTTGTAACTCGGGTAGATGTCTTCGGCCTGACCGTCGCCCAGGCAGTATTTGCATCTGGGCTCCCCATAAACTGTGTTGATTCTCTTTTCGCACAACTGGCCCATGGATTTTCTCCCAGATCAAGTTATTTCCCTTCTCCCTCTTGAGCCCCCACGCTGTGACTCCCTCCTGCTTCTCTTGCCTAGTGGCAGTGAGGGAGAAAATGTTCATTGCACAGAAAATGCCAGCCCCCTTTGAGGACTTGGCAAACAAAGCTTGCACTGAGTGGTGGTGTGTTTGGCAATGTTACTGTGCCAAAAATCACCTTATCTAATTTCTGGATAAGCAATGTCAAATGTATTACCCTTAGTGCAAGCCGAAAACTAAGGTACTGTGTTTATGCTTTTGTGTGTAACGTTTGCCTTTTCTAAACTGCTTTTCTTGTTATCTGGAAATAATCAGTTATATTATCATGTTACGTGAAGCAGCTCTCTCTGGATAAAGTGCATCGATGTAGCAGTAACAGCAGCGTACGCTCTCTATCTCCTGGTGGCAGTGGTGCCTTTGTCGCCTTTCAGAAGGTTGGCATTCTGTCTTTGTTTTGAAGTGCCCCCGGTAGCTTGCTTGTAGACTTCACACAATCTCCCCAAATGTGAAAGACTGTGGTGTGCTGCTCCCAGGCTCAGCTGGTTGAACGTTGGTATTTGCATTTCTATCAAATAAGTATAATTAGTGGGGACTGGCCAGTACCAAAGTGTGAAGTCTTTTAAGTCAGAAAATCATTTTTAAATTAAAAAAAGAGGTGACCCATTAACAACTGACACTGAGCTGGAGAATGGGGGAGGCCTGCCCTGGTTTACCAGGTGCGGGTGCGGGGGTCAGTGAAGCGGCTGGCGTTACCTGTGGTTCTGAGGGCGGACCCATTACCAGTGTCTTTTGCCTCTCCATGTCTGCATCCGTCTTCTGGCGGCCCTGTCGGCCACTTTATCCACCAGCTCTGAGACAGGCAGCTCACAGGAAAATACGGAGTTTTTGTTTTCATTTTTTTTTTTTTAAGATTTTATACTACATCTGTTTATGAATGTATGTGTGTTATTAAAACTGCTTTTTCTCAGTTTAAACTTGTGTTTGGTAGTATTTGTTTGGGAGAAGAGGTGGGAGGGTTGGGGTGGGGTCAAGTGACTGGAATGCCCCATCTCTTCCCCAGCCCTCATCTCCTTTTTTTTTTTTTTTTTTTAATTTAAATTCCTTTCTTACTCTTCCTTTGGGTTCTCCGGTCAGTATAGCTTGATGTCTCCTTCATTTGGAAACTCAGTTTTGATAGGACCCAGTTAATAATTCGTTATATACTTTGCAGACAAGAATCTGGTTGTCTCATTCTTACATGAGCTCATTTGCTGTGTTCATTCAACCACAGTTAACTGAGCACCTGCCACATGGCAGGCACTTACAGGCTCTGAGGAGCCAGTAGTGACCAGCACAGACAGAACTCCGGGGTCTTACCTCCAGGTCTTCCTGCTAAAATCAGTTCTGTTCTTGCACAGAAGGCCCTTGAGACCTGGCTCCTTTATCCCTGAGCCAGGGGCCAGGAAAAGGGAGGCCACATTACAGGGGGAGGGCTGGGACCATCTCCCACTTACCAAGCAGTTAGAGGCCTAGATGTGTTCGTTTGGTCTACCAACTAGAGGGGAGGAGACTAGGTTGGCTTCTCCTCACTGGAGAGACTGCTCTCGGGAGCTCATAGAAGGTATACGCCTCAGGTTCTAGAATCATGCCAGAATTTCTCCTTTCTGGCAGGCAGGTTGGGAGGAGACCCCTGTAGGCGTTTTTCTCTGGCAGTGGTGGTTGAGGGCTGACGCACTAACTCAGGCAGAAGCAGACGAGCTGCCCTAAGCACTGATTGGCAACGAGCGTGCAGCACAGCCTTATATAAACAAGGCAAGGGCTTTGGTGTATCTCAGATCCCACATTCATCCTGCCAGCTGATCTGGATCTTGGGCACAGCCCTTCACCCTTTGGGGGTCTTTGTTAAAAAGAGTAATAATATGTGTACACCAAAGTCTGTGAAGTCGATATGAGATCATGAATGGAAAGTGTAGTGTAGCACAGTGCCTGGCACGAAGTAGGGACTCACAAACTGGCCCTGACTTACCCTCACTGGAGGCTCTTCTCAGAAGACAACATTGGTTTGGAACAGGCACTTTGGGGTTTATTGCCATCTGAGCAAACCATTTCTGAAATGGCAGTGAACGCTTCAGAGGCTTCTATCCAGTTCTATTGATGCTGGTTTTAAAAAAAAAAATAACCACTATGCTAAGGCTGAGAAAGGGGTGGTGGGTAGGGATTTACCAGCGTTTGTGGCCATGTCCAGCCACTCTCTTTTCCTTGCTAACCATTCCCCAGGCTGAGTCAAGAGGTGCCGGCACGCCCGGAGGCCAGCTCTGGGTCTGCCTCCAAGGTGACAGGCAGGGAGGAAAGTTTAGAACACGGCGGGGTCTGAGGCACTGAGGACAGGCCGCAGCCTTGGAGCACTGGCGACGGTACTGACGGAAGAAGCTTCTCAGCATCCATGTGGCCAAAATAAAGACCGCCTGAAGGGAAGGTGTGGGACAAAGCTGCGGTGGGGTGGCAAGGAGGAGCCTAAGTGCCATCACAGGATGCAGGACAAGAGGTTGACTAGACCAGAGTGCTCTTGCCTTGGGGAGCCTCCACTGAAGTTTCAGGAGTTCATGCCCACCCCTCTCCCTCCACCTAGGGTCCCTGCTACAGTGAGTGAGCTGCTCCGGAGAAAACCTGGAGCCAAGCTGGTGGGGAAATGGCTAAGAAACCACGCCACGGACAGCTTCTGACAGCAGAATTGGGGAGACTGCCTAACAAAAGCAAACCCGTGTGTGTGTGTGTGTGTGAGAGAGAGAGAGAAGCACTCCAGAAGGTCCCCAAATAGGACCCTATCGCAGCCTCCCCCATGAGTAGCCTGGATAGTAACTTAAAGAATGAGTCTGGGTCCCAGGGCACAAGTGCAAGGCTATAGGTCTGATCAAGTTCTTGTTTGACTTCAAGTCTCTCCCACTGTCTGTGTTCTCATTCATACTCAGTCTTGTCCATCTAGGTTCCTACAGACAGTGCCACTGACTGCTTGCATATCAGATTGTGTCAAGAGATCTAGATTGCAGTGGAAGAACCCAGGATTGAAATGTCTGATTCAGCAGAGGTTCTGAAGTATAACTGTCCAACTAGTTTAGCAAGTTGACACGGCAATGCAAATGAAATCACATGTTCGTTCATACACAAACCGTGTGAGGTCCGGACTCTATCAGAGCCTCAAGAGAAAGAAAGGCCTGCTTCATAGAGTTGGTGAGTAGGTTGATGGACCCACCCCCGAACCATCTTGGCCTGCTGAAGTCAGCACTAGGGCTTCTGTGAGAGCGCAAAAGAGCTTTGCTAGCTCCCGGGGGGGCCCCCCATTTCTTCTTTTCCTATCTAGTACTGTGGAACCTCCTCTCACGGACACCCCAGCGCATTTTCCCATAAGGACTGCCAGATTCCCTTTGCTCAGTGCTCTTAGCTTACCGGCTGAGACTTCCTTACTCAGCCATCAACGCTCTGGGGTCTCTCCTGTGGTCTTGACTGTTAGCTAACTTGTTCCCATCTATTCCCCCCACCCCCACCCCCCCAGGAATCCACCCATCTCATCAAGTGGAACTTACTGTCCCCTTAGGTACCCCTTCCCTTCTCTACTCCCCCAACAAAGACTGGTCGGTCACACACTCACCTTTCTTCTGTTGCTCCTGATGGGTTCCCTTCCTGCTTCTCCTGCCTCTCTCCTCCACCGTCTGCAGCCCCATCTGCCCTGTCTCTGTAAACGTAAAAGGACGTCTCAAGGCAAATTATTTAACCACTTCAGAGGCTGTTGCCCTCCCTCTAAAATGGAGCTAGGGACTTCTCAGAATGAGATGAGGGGCCGGTGAACAAAAGAAAACTACACTATATGGAAGCGTGTACTTTTTTTTAATTAATCATTTTATTGGGAGCTCTTCCAGATATCAAAACATGCCATAGTTCAACCACATCAAGCAATACAGTACAATTGCTAAGGTAGTTTCAAACCATTTTCTTTGAACGTGATGTCAGCTCCCCTTTATCCCCTCCCTCCCCCAAGTGTGGACACTTTTTAATGTATGCCATTCTCCCCGGCTGCAATACTTAAACATATTTGCAGAGTACTAGGGAAGAAGCATGTGTGGGGAAACTGGAAGTGTGCCGTGGTCTCTGCTGCCTGACAGCCTGCAGGCCCACCAGCCCACAAGATTGTACATGAGTAGGTACCCAACTGTGACCTGTAAGGAATTCAGAAGGGACTAGATGTGTCATTTCCAGGGTCCTTTCAGTTAAATAATAAAAGAGCCACTTGACTCATTGCACTCTCCAGCCACTGTTCTTTCTACCAGGAAGTAAAGGGAGCCATCCACCTGTCCCCAGTCCCTGTCCGTCCTGCCAGGACGAAGGCTCAGGCGTATACGAAAATCAGCTGCCAATGTCCCTATGTGCTCATTTTGTGTCTTAGAATAAGCCTGTATCAATACTGGTGAACCAGGATGAGGTACAGGGGGTCCAAACTCCTGATTAAGGAGGACTAGATCAAGAGATTAAATAAAACACTCGATGGCCAAAGCTCAGGTTTTATTTGGACTTTAAAAGCTGAAACCAAATTTTTTTTTTTTTTTAAGCTGGAACCACTTAAATACAATGGGAGGGAGGCAGGGCCTGAAGTGGACAAACCACAAGGCCACAGATTACATGGAAGGCCCATCCTAGTATAAGTAAAGGTGTTAAATTGATCCCGAAGGGATTCCTAGCTTCCTGCTTGTGGCCTGCGACAGATGCAGGAAGACAGGATTACTTAGGAAGGGTGCCCCAGCAGTCCTGGAATAAGAATGGTGTTTGAGATGGCCAGGAGCAGAATGCTTGTGTCCCAGGGGCTCTGGTTCAGTGGCTATCTTGCTGAGGGGACAGGTGGTGGTCGGTTTATTCTGTGTGCACTTCTGGTCAAGCAGTTCCTTCTTTCTTCGCTTTCAACCTGACCTTCTCTAAACCCAGCAGCCAGAGGGGAGTCCTCCCCATCGCAAGCCAGAGGCAGATGACCCAAAATGCAAGATTAGCAAGTACTTAGCGATCTTTAATGAACGCTGAACATGGGGAATTGTTTACTATGAATGAGTCAGTAAACCCGCATTTACCTTGCTAACTGGGTACTTTGCCTTTGTCTGAGATTAGACATTTGAACAGAGGCGTTGATTCCGTAGGAAGGTGCTATGGGGTTGGGAGAGAAACAGATGCCAGCTGTACCTAGAAGAATCTTTGATGTGAAAATAATGTGTCATTGTTCACTACAGCTCAGGAAATAAGCCGAAATAAGCCCCGTTTACCTCCTGTAGGTGCCCTTGTGGCATAGCGGGTTAAGCCATGAGCTATAAGCCGCAAGGTCTGCTTTCGGAAACCCCTGCTGCTCCGTGGGAGAAAGGCTTGGGTTTGTATCCCAGTAAACAGTGGCCTCCTCAGAGACTCACAGGGGCCGTGCGACCCTGTACTATAGGGTCACTGTGAGCCCGCACCGACTCCGTGGGAAGGAGTTTGACCTATTCGGAGTCATCTGAAAGTGCCTCAGAAGTGAGGACCAGGGTCCCACCAGGCAGCGATGGCCAGGTGAGAGGACGGCCAGAGGCCCTACAGGTTTACATGCCCTTGAGGAGCCCCAGTGGCCTCGTGGTCACGCGTTGGACTGCTAACCACAAGGTCAGCAGCCGCCTCCAGGGAGGAAGACAAGGCTGTCCACTCCTGTAAACAGTTACAGTCGCGTCCCCTCCTTTAGGTTCGCCATGGGCCCGGTGGACTCAATGGCAGTGAGTCTAACCGTAAGCACGTGGGAGGGGTCTCAAGGACGGGGAAGATGGCGGAGGCACCACCACGGGGCTGCGGGCGGGGGACAGGGGTCCTCGCATCCCCGGAGCTGGGCAGGGGACAGGATGCCAGACTCCTAAAGGCTGTGTGT